CTTTCCGCCCGAAAACCGCCGATCAAGAATTGGCCGGTCTGAGTCGCGCTCACTCTCTTCTTAGTGGTCACGTTCCTTTCCCTGTGGTTTAGACACAACCACCCACGATAATCAAAGTCGTGGGTCATCAAAGGCACACACTCAAGGCTAAAAATACACAAAACATATGAAACCCATTCTTTTTGTGTGTGTGTGGCTTGTAAAAAGCTAGAAACAGGTTGATTAAAAAAAAAAGTTGTAAAATACGTGACTTCCGGTAACTTTCTCCTCATATTTCTTCTTCCTCCCCAATCCAGTTTAGATTTCGGTTTAGAGCACTTGCAATTTTTTTTTACTTTATTGAAAATGTACGTGACGCTGTAGCAAAATATTGATTGGGTAGTCTTCTAACAACCATAACGGATCGCCATTAAAAATGAAAAACGCGTGGCAAAAAGAAAAAAAAAGGAGTTGGCGCGTAAAGAAACTTGTTAAAGTTTATGCCAGCCTTCCCCAGTTTGAGCCCTTGATTTTTTTTTTTGTAACGTTATTGGCGAAGGCGGTAAGAGGTGTCGCAAATTGCATGTCTTTAATACTTATTATTGTTATTAATAAAATAGGTGTTTTACGACGACTGTAAAAACACTACATTGCTGACTTCAAAAAATTAAAATCAGAAAGCGGAAGTGTTATGACGAAACATCGGCCGTCTTCTAGTTTTCAGTGCGAAATCATTAACTGTCCCATGGAGCGAACGGGCGTTATCAGATTTTGAAGCCGCGCCAAACGTAACCTAAATTCCCTCGTCCCATGGAGTCTGTAGCAGAAAATTGATGCAAAACTTCTATTGGCTCGCGCGCGGCATAGTTCCAAGAAACGCCACCCCACAGAGTGGGCCTCTCCATGGCGCAGCGTCCTGGCTGTCAGTAAAAGGGAGAGGGTATCCAGGCTCTGAAGAGCTGCTGGCTGCAGAGATTGCCGGGCAGCCTACGCAGAGGTCGCCCGGCAGGAATCAGCGCGGCCCGCAGCTTGTAGGAAAACGCTACGTATACCAATGTTTTCGCATTCCTAACGTTAGCAATCTTAAGCGTCTCTGTGATTTTTATTCATACACTCAGTATGGCATGACGACGGAAAGTACGTTGGAGCGGCGGCACATTTCAGTCAAAGTCGGAATCCATCTTGAAACGTTGTGGATACATTGAGGTTTTTGTCATAGCCCTTGTCAACAAAGTCGTGAGAATAGATCAGGGGTATCAAACTGGCCCCTGAAGGTGTTCTTTGGGGAGTGCAGCCAACCACGCATTATTTTGTGTTTCATCTTTTCAAAGAATTGCGTAGCACGGTACTTTTAGTTGTGGTAGCACGGTGGCAGAACTTCACGCAGTTCCCTTTGCGACATTGACCCTCACGTCGCTCACCAAGGTCTGCTACACAACGTTTTCTTCCTTAACTTTTCAAAAAAATTGTTTTAGACCGACTGACACTCCTAAAAAAAGAGGCACTGAAAAGTGACACGTCGTCAGCACGCGAAGAAAGGTCTCGCGAAATACTTTCGCGGTTGACTGGGTGGCACGTCCGCGAACCCATGAACGATGAGACGGAAAGAGAGAAAATGAAACGACACTTCCTGTTTCAATTTACCCAAAGATGCAAGGAGTAGCAAGGAGTGCACCATTTTGGTAATTACGTCATAGACTCGAGCAGGTGTTTCAAATCAAGTTTTCTTAAAATTTTTTTTCTCCGCAAACACGCAGTTCTTAAGCCTCGTCAGAGCCGTTTACACTGATTGATTTTGGCCTTCTTAGGGAGATTTTGGCAGCCTGGCAACCACAGCAGCGTCGTCTGACAACTGGGGGATGACTTCCGTCCATTATTTCGTCACTCTCTTTTAGAGAAACTCTATGTGAGTTCTCAGGAATAAACAAGAGAAAGAAGAAACGCCTATTTGTGTTATCGCGAAATCCGCTGGTTCTAGCGGGGCAACAAGCTTCGCCCATTAGCCAAACTCTCTCAGTATAAACCGCTCTGAGCCTGGTATTTTTAGGGCGATCCTTAGGAATAATTTTCGGTCGTTTGCAATAATAAAACTCCGGCGTTTTCTTCATAATTCCCGATTTTGCCTGAAAATTTGGTAAACACGCCAACAAATATCGCTCAAATAGTAATCCAAATATTGCGCCGAAATAACTTTTTTTTTCGCGAATTTATTGAATTTACAATTTCATTCCTCACCGTGTTTGTCAAAGTGAACGTCTCTACTGGCAGCAATCAAAATGTGACATCAGGGGAAGACAGGGGTTTACCTTTTAGAGAGTTTGTTCCCAATTGATTACAAGCAGTTTCATGAGTTCCAATGAATGCTTCGAAAGCTCGCGTCGATGCCCCCGCAGAGGCACAAAACAAATGCTCGGTACAGTCCATCTTTTAGACTGCCCGCTCGACTTGCAAGCCTGCTTTTCTCTTATGTCACTGCACTGAAAAGCGCGAGTATGTTTGAATGTAGGTTTTAGCATAATTTTCACTTGCCGATTTTACAACAACTATTCTGAGTTTCGAGATGCTAAATAGCATACTGGAAAGGGTAAGGGGCGATGATCCCGAAAATATAGTTAGTTGGGGTAGCTCATAAACCGCCGGAGTACCCCTTTAAAGGAGGGACGGTCGAAAAAAGTTTAGAACTCGGGAAACTCACAAGAAAAAATCTGGAAATCTGGCGTTCCTAGAAACTTAGTTTGAGAACCCATCATCTAGATTGTAGAATCTACCATAATTTTTTAGACGAATGGCAACATTGATCCGGGAATCAAGTAATCAATAAGCGTATTACATCAAATGCGTTCATGCACCTTCAAGATGGCATTAGAACACTCGCTAAAACGTGAACCGACTTTGCACCGGAAAAAAAAAAAGTTGTGAAAATCTGATCTAAAGCGCTTTAGAATAATGTAACGTTTGTGGTAAAAGTAGCCTTTAAGTACTACAAGGGTTACTACACGTGTGTTACACAGGACTATATTCTGAAAAGCGCTTTAGTGGCGCTAAAACTGCCTAAAGTTGTTCTACCGTTGTAGACCAAATGTAATTTATCTCGATAGCTTTCTGCACGTGGTGTGGTTACATGACTTTCTAGATTAAAAGGAATACAAGCACCGTACGACCCAAGAACTTTATTCCAATTTAAATAAAATGTACTCAATTGTGTTAACATATTAGAACCTTCGAAATTAAACGGCCATTGCCCCAAACAATATAATACAATAATTATCTCACAACTATGAAAGAGCAGAATGCTCTCTGAACAACAGACACAGAAAACAGAACCTCCTACGTTTTTCTCAGTGACGAACGGATACCATGGTTCTCTTTCTCTGCCAAAAAATTAAACCCTCGTTATGGACTAGAAGGGAATGACGAGACGAAAAATTGCACTGTTGAGGTACGTCAGCGGTAGCGGAGAGTGCCGCTAAATTAAAAAAAATTAAAAAAAAGAAGATGTTAACCTTCTGAAACGAGCTTCGTCAAAAGATATCACAAATAAACACTGAAACAAGTTTCAGGTTGGGAATGTTCTTTACATTGCAAACCGGAATGACAAGGAAATCAGATCGGATCCACACCTATTTTTTGTTACAAGTGTCGAAGATCTACCTGCAAAATCATCTTTAGCAGGACTGAAGGCCGTTCCTATTCTCTTTTTTTTATTCGTCAACCAGGAGAAAAAAAATATATATATATTTTTTTTCAGAAAAATTTTTGAGTGACAGGACAAGCCGTCATAGACCAAATGCAAGGTTCGGAAGGATTCAAAGGAGGTACGGGAATTTAGCTCACTTACATGTGGCATAGCATGCGGCATTCGGAAACGGGAGAGATAGGGAAGTGGCGAGTTGAAACTGAGGTTAAAATTTCAGGTTATCGAAATGAGGCAGAAAATTGTCAACAACAGTATAGATGCATCCTGGCAGCTTATTCGCTGGCGCTGCGTGTATATGTACCTTCATTTCAGCTTTTGGTTACAACTTTCTCTGAACGGGTTGAATTCCGTGTCGAGTACTTCGTCGCAACGCTTCGTTACGACCCGCTTCTCAACTGAGTGGATCAGTGTTGCGGCATATGATGCGAATAAGAATGGAAATAAAACTGTCTGCTTGACGATGTGATTGGAAATCCTCTCCGTTACTACTTGATATTTTTGTAACAACTAGGAATCGTACGCGCAACGGATTGCCCGCACACCAAGACAAGCCAGGAACTGAGAGCTGTCGGCGTAGATCAACGGAGTCAAATTTGTGTGGAAGCGAGCGTGTTGGACTGGATGTTTTTCAAGAGTGCCTCATAGTCCTGGCTCATCTTTCGGCGCGCATCGCAACATTCCCCTGCTCACTCACACCGCAGACTGTCCATTGACACAGGTACGAACAACATCTAGGCCGAATACACTCCTCAGTTGCACGGGGACACTTCAAATGCAGTAGACTGTCGGCTCAGCACTGTGCGAGCGTCTTTCTCACAAGGAATACACACGAATGGAAATATTGTCACACACGTCTTTGGTGGATCTTGCGCACTTTCATTTGCGCAGCTTGTCCATGGTCGTGTTAGCACCGTTCCACAGTCACGAACGGAAACACAAGAATGCCAACTTCCCGAAACTATTTCCCCTCGTAGTTCAGAAAAACGAACAATGAAATAAATGAGCTCGCAGTACATTGCGTTGGATTGCAGTAGTCGAAGTTGGAGGAGTCCAGCCGCGAAGACAAAGGAGACGTACCATTGTACGCTGGGTCACTCATTGAGTCTACGCCAGTCCGAAGGAGAAGACGGGGGCGGTCGTTCGTGGGAAGCACCTTGAAGAATCCGGGCTCCAAGAATCGGCAAACAGGCGACCTAGCCGAAAGGACGAGGGATGTGGATGACGACGAGTACGACGCGGCGAGAGACGGTGGTCCTTGCTGCAAGGGAGAAGCAGCCAGCGAGGCGCGGACACACGGCGGCTAAACCGCAAGATGGCACGATCATCACTGGGTTCCGTTGTGGCAGCCGATGGTGTCTGCGGTCAGGGTTAGCGTGGTCAGCACGCTCCTCCGGTTCGGGTTCACACCCAGGCTCTCCCAGTTGATCCAGGACAGGCGCGCTGTCAGATCTGGCGGGGGAACAGAGCTCGCAATCAGAACGACCGTTTAGACTTGAGAAATGTTCATAGGAAACGATAACAATCAGATTTCTGAATTGTTGTAATCTAGACGACCGCTTATGTCCGGTATAAGATACATAAACTTTGTAGACTAGAAACAACTGCTTAAGCGGCCTTTGATTAGGAGTTCAGGGCACCTCAGCATTTTGGGGACCACGGACACAACTCCAGACATCTCTCGATCGTAACCAAGTGGTATCAACAATATAGCAAATTAAGCAAATATATCGCTATGAGCCACAGCCATTATCCTACAGGCACGTGATAATCTTACTTAGGCCCACAATGGCTTTCGATTACGCAGAGCTTTTGATGTTCGCGCTCAAATCTCGACTTTTTACAGCGAAGCTGTTCGTAGCGGTTCCGTGAATTTTTCATGTGCGGCAACAAAAGCTCAGGTCCCGAATTTGATGCAAAATGGCTTCATTCTGTGTAAAAGCTTATAGGTCTCATCACCTCGATATGCCTTTTCTGTAGATTATTTATCAATAGGCACTATCTTCAAGATCAGTGGACTCACAGGTAGATAACAAAGGTTTCTCAAAGATTTGCCGCTGTGCGACCCGCGTCGGCCATGTCTAATCTCACACCGCCTTCTCTTCGCGTCGTTCCAAACGCTTGCGTGCCTAGTTTCCTTCAATTCCGCTCTCCTGAAGTGGCGGTCCCGTCGCGAGTGTCTACTCTCCGCAGGGCAGCGGTCCCGTTGCGCGTGTCTAGTTTCCTCCGGCTCTTCGGGGCGGGACTGTGTCTTGCGCTAAACAGCTTGGCTGGACATCCACCTTCACGGAGTGGAATGGCTCATGATTTTTATTTCTACGTACCGAACTTGCTCACTTGAGGCTGGACGCCCAATCCGCTAAGCCTGATTATATGTTTTAAAAAGGCCGCTTGATTGACGGCATATTAAGCTAAAGTGTCCATTAAAACAAGTTGATGCACTAAGCACCTGAAGAGAGTCAAGGGCTCGCACAGATATTCTACAAATTCCCCCCGTTCTCGTGATTTCTAACATCATCCTCATCAGGTCTCTCATCATCATCACAACTGTTTTATTGTTCAATTTAATATTTATATTATTCTTTTTCCTCCTGCCCCTAACCCCAGTGCAGAGTAACAGACTAGGACAGAATAGTGCCACTAAATAAGCCACGCTTAAGAGTAACGACACTTGGCCATATTGTGGCTAAAAATCATGGTTGCCAGCTATCTGAAGCTTTATCTGAAATCACACGAAATGCTTTTCCGCCCTCCACAAATGTTTAAACCATTCGCGACAGAGCAAAGCAATATTACATTACCTTCCTAACACCGAATCTAATGCTGAGGAAGTCGCACTTTTGAATCATGACGATCGGCCGTTGCGTCTGTTCTGCATACGAGCCAAAATGGCGGCGCCCACAACAATGTCGGGGAACGGAGTGCCGATACTCTAAGCGCAGCTTATTTAGTGGCTCTAGGACAGACGTCCGGGCTAACCTAACCTAACCTTACCAAGCTGGGCAGAACAGCCACCTAGGACAAATGTCGAGGTTAAACTCTTCGTTGTTTCGGCATCAACACCGACCAACCCCTCTGTCCCTCTACGTCAGCGAGACAAGCTTCCATTGCCAAGCTTGCCGCCCGCGCACAAAGAAGGGCGCACGTGTCCCTCGCTCACCGGAGGTGTTCCACTCGGCGGCGTGTTCCCCCTTGAGCTCGCCTCTGAGGCACTTGTCGATGTGCGTCAGAGGGTCGTGCTGGGAGACGAGCAGCTCTCGCAGCAGCGCGATGTACGCGATGGCCAGCCGCAGCGTGTCGATCTTGGACAGGCGTTTCTCGAACGGGAACGTGGGCACGTGGCAGCGAAGCTCCTCGAACGCCGTGTTAATGCTCATCATGCGCTTCCGCTCCCGGATGTTGGCCGCCCGGCGCTGCACCTTGTACGGACCGGCGAACGGAACCACGGGCACGCAGCCCTGCTGCAGCGGCCCGCCCGAAGAGCTTCCCGATGGGCCGTACTCGTAGCAGAAGCCCCCGCTGCCGCCTTCCGCCGGGACCCCGCCTGCGGGTGACCAAGTCGGAACGGTAAACTGTCTGCTAATATTCTCAAAAGCGACTCTTACAAAAAAAAAAAAAAAGAGACAACCAACACAGACGACTGGTACATTTTGTCGAGATCTACTTTAGCCAGTGACAGGCTGAAAACCCAGTACGTGCTCCGCCTCTAGCACGAGCTTCCCACCTTCCCTATAGCACTTCGTCGCACGTGCAGCCAAAGCACGGCGGAAGGCAACGGGCAAGTGCTAGAGGCGGAGCCTTTACTGCGTTCTTAACCTGTCAGCGACTATAGAGCCATCGGAAGCTCACATTCCATAGCGTGCGCTGAACCACAAGTATCGAGACAATCCAGCTCTCGTTCCCGTGCCTTGGTTGAGGACGTGACGGACATCCGGCATGTTAGCGCTTGAAGAAAACTTTTAGCCTTTCCACTCTGGTGAGGAAGGAAGAGCAGCGGAGCTGAAGCTTTTGTTCTCGTAGGTGACTTTCCAGGCGAGCGATCTGCTCTTCTTTCGCAAGGGAATCTGAAGCGCTCGACGCTGTGGAACTTTAGGCGATAGCGGCCTCGCGGCAGTTGCGGAACCATTCGCGCTGCTGCGCGCATCGCTGCTCGTTCCGCTCCCGCTCTTCTTCCTCCGAAGAAAGGTTGCTGCCATCTATGAGCGACACCGGCAACTAGTTGTCTGGTTGCCGCCGTCGCTCGATGGCGATAGCTGTCCAGAGTTCGGTGTCATCATTTCTTTGCTGGTGGATACGTTCCGGGTAGATACGCTCCTTAACAGCTCCGCTGTCAAAAAAAAAAAAGAATTAATGGAAACTTAAGTTAAACTGTATACGGCGACGGGGCTCTGCACAGCCGTTGACCCGTCGATAGGTGTGTTGACTTCCGGTTGAGATTTCTGTATTAAGCTTGGGATTTCCGTAGTAAGCTGTATTCTGCTAAACAAGAATACCAGCTCGTCGCCCTCTCGCAAGTAGGCTATTCCAGGTTCAACCACCTCGATTCGATTCGATTTCACAGAACTGCCTATTGTACATCCTTCGAATTCAGTGCCGCGAGGTGGGTTTGAAATAAGGATTATACTTCGTTTCAGCTTCGGTCCGAGCGCGGCCGATGTTACGAGCCAAAGGGCCAATCAAACAGCGTAAAGAGTGCAACGTCATGGCGTGCTCTCTGCGCTTGATAGGACTAGCCGGCAGAGGAGCACGCACAGAGAGACGGCGAATACCGGCTGGTCCTATCAACTGCAGAGAGCACGCCATGACGTTGTGCATCCTTTGCTGTTTGATTGGCCCTTTGAATCATAACATCGGCCGCGCTCGGACCGAAGCTGAAACGAAGTATAGAAGCTATGGAACTCTGGAAACATTCAGTGGATCTAAGAAAAACAAGCCACGGCTTCCAGTTCATTCTGTTGTTATATTGCCGCGCGCAGGGTTGCGGACTTGTAGAAGATTCTTGTTTATTCTTGCTGCTGATATATCTTCTATCGTTTATCCCTGCTTTTGTTGTTCTAAAAAGGGCGCGTTCATTCTCGCCCCGAGCACGCTACGCTCGAACCTTCTCCGCCGAATCTTCGAGATAGTGACTCACTCTAGATAAGAGGCCACCCGCAAACTTGTCGAGTCAGTCTCGCCCCAGCGCTCGATCCTGCGGCTTCGCCGACACCGACGCCCGCGACGCTCTCCTGCTTTCTGCTGTTTCCTTTTTCTTTTATTAATTTGGGCACAAGTTCGGCCCCATTAAACGTTCAGTTTACTTCAGTTTTCGTCGCCCCATCACTCGTCATTCGTGACATTTTGGTGGAGGTGCTGGGTAATTGCGTCCTATGTCCGTGGACCGTAACCCTCCGAAAACACACCGGCCAAGTGACGTACTCAGCTCCGGGAGGCTACCCTTCGCAGAAGACGAGACCAAGGCCCGGTCAAGTCGCCGTAATCAAGGCCTACCGCCGGAACTCGGACCCCTGCCGCAGAAATCAAGGAAGAAGACCGCGACGATGACCGCTCCGCCCATCGCTCTCCTGCCCGTCGCCCCCCGATCGTCGACACCTTTCCATGGCGAGATCTATGAAGACGTCGAGGACTGGATTCTTCACTATGAGCGCGTGGCCCGCCACAACGGATGGAACGCCGAGCAACGCCTCCAGAACCTCTACTTCTCGCTGGAAGGCACCCCGAGGCACTGGTTCGAAAACCACGAGGCTTCGTTCACTTCGTGGGATATCTGCGCCACCGAGTTGAAGCGAACCTTCTCGAACCAACACCGGTGACAGAATGCGGAGGACCTGCTCCAGACGCGGACACAAGCCCCCGACGAGAGCTTGACAAGCTACGTTGAAGACGTGCTACGACTCTGTACACGCGCCGACCCGCAAGCCACCGAGGAGAAGTTGCGCTTCCTCATGAGGGGCGTCAAGAGCGAAATCTTCGGTGGCCTTGTCCGCAGCCCCCCGACGACGGTAGACGGCTTCGTGGCCGAGACTACGAACATCGAGCGTGTGCTATCGGTCAGAGCTGTGCACTATCAGCGACTCGCCGCTGTGTCAACGGTTCTGGCTGTCTCGACACCTCGCCCCAATGTCGATGGTGTCGGCGTCGAACACCTGCGACAGATCATCTGCGACGTCGTCCGGGATGAGCTCGGGAAGCTACTGCCGGCTCATAACCGCCCGGCTTCGCTCTCGATTGCCGAGGTGGCTCGAGAGGAAGTGCAGCGAGCTTGCCAGCCGGACACTCCCATCATCGTTCCAGCTCCCGAAGAACCGACGTTAAGCTACGCCGCAATGGTCCGCCGAGCACCACCAGCACCGCGTCCGTACATGGCGCCTCCCCGACGCGTGCCTCCAGAGCCGCAGCATTCCAGACGCCAGGAAGATCGGGCGCACGTTCGTCCAGAACAAGTTGCGTCAAGGAAGACCGACGTGTGGAGGACGGCTGATCGACGCCCGTTGTGCTACCACTGCGGGGAAACCGACCATATCTACCGACGATGCCCTTACCGCCAGCTGGGCCTACGAGGGTTCGCGCCCAACGACCCTCGACCACGTCTTGGAGAGCGACCTCGGGACATCGAGGACTACCTTCGCCGCTCTTCATCTCCTGAGTCGTCTCCCCGCCGGGCCTTCCGTTCACCATCCCCCCGACGCTCGCCATCGCCCTTCCGCCGGTCTCGCCGAGACAGCCTGTCACCCATCGCGTCCCGTCGGGAAAACTAGGCGCGGCAATGCCGGGAGGTGGTGTTGCCGAAGATGAACGATGCCAAGATCCTCCAAGATCGTCGGAGCTCTCCCACTCTAACGCCGCAACGCCCCGAAACGACGTTTCTGTAACAGTGTCGAATAACCTCAACGTTATCATCGACGGCCACGACGCGACAGCACTCGTCGACACCGGAGCAGATTATTCCGTTTTGAGTGGGAGACTCTCTCGTCGCCTTCAGAAAGTTACGACGTCATGGGATGCACCACAGATACGAACCGCCGGCGGACACATCATCACGCCTGTCGGCAGGTGCACTGCTCGCGTTGAGATCCACTTTGAAACCTGCCTGTCAAGTTCGTCATTCTGCAAGACTGTTCGAGAGACGTCATTCTCGGAATGGACTTTCTGTGTGAATACGGCGCCATTATAGACCTCAGGGGGGAACAAGCTGACGCTTCGGAAACCTGTTCCCTCGGCGAAAGATCCCAAAACGACTTTAGCTGCAGTGCGAGTCTTTACCAGCCAGGTAAACCTGCCGCCGCTGTCCAGTGTCTTTGTCCCCGTCGGGACCGACGAAGCCACCTGCGGGACTGCACTGTTGGAAGGAAGCGTTCAACTTCTTTTTGGACGAGGGATTGGCATTGCAAGAGGCGTAACCGAGCTCCAGGACGGGCGTACCGTAGCCCTTATCACCAACTTCCGGCAAGAGTCGCAGCACCTTACAAAGGCTACAGCTGTGGGCTACGTCGAGGAAATTCAGGACTCGGCCGCGATCACCGTGATCTCAGATGACGCCTCTCCGACGCAGCACAAGGGAACCACGCCGTCAGAGCTCGACATCGACCCATCCCTCCCAGCCCCACAACGACGACAGCTGACTGACGTACTCGCAGAGTTCAGTGAGTGCTTCGCCATATTGTCAAGGCTACGCCAAACAGCGGTTGCGAAGCATCGAATTGTTACTGACGATGACGTGCCTCCTATTCATCAGTCGCCGTACCGAGTTTCGGTGAAGGGGAGGGAAAACCATCCAGAAACAAGTTCAAGAAATGCTTGACGATGATATTATGCAGCCTTCAAGCAGTCCGTGGGCCTCTCCAATTGTTCTGATGAAGAAGAAGGACGGGACCCTTAGTGTTCTGCGTGGACTACAGGCGACTGAACGCTGTTACAAAGAAAGATGTCTATCCGCTTCCGCGCATAGATGGCACCCTCGACCGTTTACGCCACACCCGATACTTTTCGTCGATGGACTTGAAGAGTGGCTACTGGCAGACTGAGGTCGATGAACGAGACCGCGAGAAGACCGCCTTTGTCACGCCCGATGGACTTTACGAGTTCAAGGTGATGCACTTTGGACACTGTACGGCGCCGGCGACTTTCCAGCGGGTCATGGATACCGTACTAACGGGACTGAAGACTCAGAGCTGCCTCGTTTACCTGGATGACGGCGTAGTTTTTTCGCACGACTTCGAGGAGCACTTGAAACGGCTTAGGGCCGTGCTCCAATCCATCAAGACCGCAGGGCTTACACTCAAGCCAACGAAGTGCCGCTTCGCCTACGGCGAAATTAAGTTCCTTGGTCATGTCGTTAGTGGCGAAGGAGTGCGCCCTGACCCCGCGAAGACATCCGTCGTAGCCGAATTCTCACGACCATCGAACAAGAAGGCCATTTGCAGATTCCTGGGGCTGTGCGCGTACTACAGGCGCTTCGTTCAAGATTTCGCAAAAATTTCGGCGCCCCTCACACATTTTACAAAGGACACCGTGAAATTTCACTGGGCAGAAGAAGAAGGACGG